CTTCTTTGATCCTTTTGACCCGAAGATTTCTATCGGAATTATCTTCAGGTATGCCCTTGCGTTGTTGACCGCATTCACCGATGCCATGATGCTCGCCACTTCTTGTGGTTTGTTCTTCTGTTCTTCCGAGGAACTTTTCTCTGTCTCGACGTGCAGCAGATGATGATGCCACCTCTTGCATTCCTTGCACGACGGCTTCTTGCAGCTCTCCTTCCGATGTGTCCCTTGTAAACACTTGAAGCAAACGCGGCTTTTCTTCACTATTGCCCATCGATCTTGCACAGACGCCTTCAGGAACTTCTGACACCCGACGAGGAAGTGTTCACCCTCACACATGGGGCAAGTCTTCTCTGATCTTGAAACCTTTTTTTTGAAGTCCTTTTCCTTAGTTGAATGCGTTGCTTGTCGATGAGTCCGTCTGAACCCGCTCTTCTCTTCTGTTGATGCATAGGCTCCACACTTGTCTGCTTCTCTGTTCAGGAACTTGGACACCAGTGTTAGGTCGGAGAACTCGCCTTCTTCTGTTGTTTCAATGAAGTCGTACCATCGGAACTTGAGGATCGTAGGCATCTTCTCAATAATTTGTTTCACCATCTCAGGTGAATGCAGGTACTGTGGTTTCTTCAATCCTTTTATTGCCGCTACGCTGTTGCTGATCTGGCTCGCGAAGAGGCATATGTCCCTTGGGTTTTCAGAAATCTTCGGCAACGTTTTGACCTTGTCCAACTCTGCCAGCACCAGTGCATCTGGTCTTCCATATCTTCTTCTGAGGGCTTGAATCACTTCCATCGGAGAGGCTTCGGAGTACAGCAGACTCTTGATAGCTTCTCTTGCGTTGCCCTTCAGTGCTCTTCTTAGCCGAGCCATATTCTGGACGTTGTTGAACATTGGTGCTGTATCTTCATAGACAACCTTGAAGGCCATCCACTCGCTGCTGTTGCCGTCGAAGTAGGGTAACTCGTGAATGTAGGTTGGCTGTCCTGCTGGTCCTCGCGTGGTAAGAGCTTCCTTCAATGCTGCCGTCAGTGCTTGAATTTCAATCGTAGCTCCTCTCGTTGAGGAGTTCTCTTCAGGCTTCATCTTCTGTGGCTCTTCCAAGGGGTGTGGACCTCGCATCTCTGGTTGAACTTTGTTGCCATCCTCCAGCACAGACGTCTCGATCCAGTTCTGCACCTGTGCTGTTCTGTCTTCCAGGTCTTCATCCACGGAGTCCTCTTCTTCACACTGTGCCATCTCCAATCTGACACGGGCTAGCTTAGTTTCAGCCTGTGCTTGCTTCAACTCCAGGCGTGCCAACTCTTCCTTTGCTTCTAGCTCGCGTCTTCTGGCCGAGGAACTCGTGGTCTTCGTGGACCTGGCGCGACGACTGACCCCCATCGGTTTCAGGGTCTTGGAGGAGCCTTGAACATCCTTTCCAGGTACATCTTCTTGGCTCTTCCTGGTCATCCTCTGTGCAGCATCTTCTTTGTTGCCTTCCATAGACGCCGCCGTAGTTGCAGTCGTAACCGTAGTCTCCGTCACTGTGGTGCCCTCCGTGGTCGTGGTACCCGAAGAAGTGTTCGATGTAGTTGCAGTTCCCGATGACGCCGACGCTGACGTGACCCCTTCTGATCCCGACGTTCCATCTGTCGCGTCCCTATCTGAAGGACGGGACCCGGGACGTGAGGGGGCATCCTTCTGCGACCTGGTTACCGGCATCTTGAACGCAATCTTCTGTTTCTTCTGAACTTCTTCTAGCAGGGATCCGGCTCGAAGGACCAACTGTTTCGGACGACCAGAACCAGGGTATGTCTAGTACCCGGAGGTCGACCTGGGACAATCTCCCAGACGTTCTTGGCGTACACGGCAGTATGTCCGTTCGCTGGTAATGTACGCCACCACGCACCCCTGAATGCGTAGCTTGGGTCCCGATCCACTAGGGTTTCTTCGTTGACAGGAGACTATACTTAGAGGCGATGAAATAAAACACAATTTTTCCTTTTTTCTCTCTTGGTTTCGGTTCTTCCTTTTCCTTTTAGTTGTTGCCTCTTCGGTGGCTGTCTTGCGACTGACTCGAATCGAGAAATGGCTCGCCTTTTATTTGGCCCGTTAATACCTTACAGAGAGCCGCGTACTTTGAGCTCATTTTTCGAGTAAAATTTCCCTAAACCGAAACCTTGAGAGTCCTTTTATTTTATGTTTTCAGTAAAAACACCTTACACATATTTATTTATTTACATGCCTTACATACTATTATACAATATTAAAACATAATATTCAATATATAATAATTAATTAAAAAAGTCTTAAAACAAAAATATCTAAATTTCTAGGTTGCTACATTTTTACTATACATTTTCCCTTATAACTTTTGAACGGATAGTCCTATCGACCTAATTCTTGTTTTATTATAAGTTTTATAATAAAATCTATTATTTAAAACATAAACTATTATGCTATTGCAAGAAACAAAAAATCTCATTTTCAAGTTACGTAATTATATGCTAACATTTTACTTACGTACCTATTCCTTTCAAATTAATGTTAAATAGTCTTATATGATTCAAATAAGCAAAAAATACTCTAAACTAACCTTATTACACTAATTAGAACTTATTTTAACATAATAAATCTAATAAGAATGAGATTTCATATTTACAACAATTATTCATGATACGCTAAAATGACATTGTCCCTATATTAATACACACGTTACTCGAAGATAAGTTTTCCGTCGCCGACAGAGTCAAATCTGTAAATTAAATATTTTTTGGAAAATCTTATTGAAATACACATTATTATCGATACAGAAGCCGAATCTATAGTTTTTAGAATTTTTGTCTGTCTGTCTGTTACCGCATCACAGAAAAACTACTGGACGGATTTTGATAAAATTTGGTATGGTCATAGCTAATTATCCGGGTAAACATATACTTTTTACAGCGGAAAAATATCTCATTTCTGAGAAAAAATACAAACACTGTAATGTAAGAGTATATACTAATGTGTAAAACCTAAGAATTTGGTTTTTGTTCATCTAAACGCGGGCAATGCTAGTTAAAAATAAACTCATTACGTGTCAGTTGTATTCAAAAAATAGTTTCCATAGTTATCGTAAAAGTGGCATTGTGGGGCATCATATTGCTGATATTGCCTATTTGTTTAGGTCTCCTCTAGTCATTCAAGACAGCTTTATCGGGCGCCACTATTTTTGTTACAAACTTTTACAGTTCTAATAGAAAAATGTTTGAAACCTTTTTTCAATGTTAGTCCAATGTGAGCCTCATGAAATTATAATATTTTTGTCGACATACAACTTTAAACACGGGGAGATGTTTGGTTTGGAGCGACCAAATGCGACATACGGTCTATAATACTAAGTTACTTATTGTTCGGCCATGATAGTATATAACACAATTTACATAATATATATGTAAGGTACGTTATGGTAGTAGTATGGTAGGTATGTAATGATAATGGTACAAATACCATTATGCTACCATAATTCTGCATTTAAAATTGTTTAAGTGACTATGTTCACTAATGTAATTGAAATAAAATGAAAATATATTATTATTAACACTTTCTACCATTTGTTTTTATTACTTGTGCTCGGAATGTAGATTATTCATTAACACCAAAATATGTAGTATTATTTAAAAATCTAACATAAATTGTCTTTTTCTATTCTATGTAAATTTTATTCTAACATATCTTGACAAGATAACTCAACCGACAGTATGTTACCAAATCATTATCTCAAGACTATTGCAAGGTAAAGTTGCGCTATTCGCGAATTTAAAGCACTCGTCGCGAGAACACTGTTGTCGTTATGAAACTACGAAGATTATACGACGACAATAAAAAAGTGTTGTCGCGATGGTGTTAACGCGGCGATACAATTGTAAATATATTATCGACTTAACTGTTCTTAACTAACAACATGTTTTTAATCAAAAATATACAATTGCTTTATGTGTTACTTACATAAAAGTATTGACGGCGAGTTGGTTCCCCATCCGCATATCACAGAAAGTAACTTGTAACAGGCAAAGTCTTTATTTAGTTTGTTGATAATGTATACTTCAATTAGTAAATTATTAATTATTATGGTAGGGTTATCAGGAACAAAAAAAATACTTCAAATAATGTTATAAAAAAGGTTCATAAATTAATAAACGAAAAAAAATTGATTTTAGAAAGGCGAATTCTGTTGTACAATATTAAATGGCCAATATACGAGAATAAAATATTTAACAGTTTACGGTTCAACGCCATCTATTGTCTAGTTTAAGCAAATACTAGATTTTTTAAGGAAAAATTATATTAAGGGTTAAACCACGCTTGAATTTGACGCGAGCGGCGCTAGTGTAGAGTGAGGTCTCTAGAACTGTCAAATGACACTAAATGTTAACAGTTTGAGAGCTTTTCATCTCGGATTTTTACGAATTATTTTAAAGATTGTGCCACTCCTGATTAATTATGACAAACACGGTACGGCTCAACCAATGTTATTGGTTTAAAAGAAGAGCTAAGAAAAATTCAATATTTATTCGGTTATTATATATTAAATTCGTAAAATAAAATCCTGATAAACTGATGTGCTACCAATAATAATAATAATTATTATTTTAAATGTATGGCCCTGTCGCACTAACAAATACATTGTGACGACAGCGATAGGATCGTATTAGCCAGTGGCGCCAACTGGTGCCAGAAACGATAGCCCACATTAGGGTCATACAAATTCTTTGTATACATATCTGTACTGTATCATCTTATGGCTATGGTTGGGTTAGATGGTATGGATATTGTCGTAATTTACTGGATATTTATAAAGGATGAATTATTTAGTACCTGTCTAACGTTAGTACCGAAAATAGCCATCGGGAAATCTAACCATCGTCAATACATATATAAATTTAATTTATACCGTTTTGCAACTAACAGCATCACAGATATATGTATGTATACTTATAACTGTGAATTTAAAATATCAACACCTTTATTGACTTTTGTAGATTTGCAAGTAGCTTTGGATCGATAACCAGACTAAGGATAGAATTTGAGCGTCTAAAGTCACACTTAATAAAAACAGAGAGCCCAATAGTGTTTGCTCACAATGATTTGCTTCTAGGAAACGTCATCTACAACGAATCTAAAGGGACAGTTTCGTTTATTGACTATGAATATGCCTCATATAATTATCAAGCTTTCGATATAGCAAATCATTTCAACGAGTTTGTTGGTAAGATATTTTTATAAATGAACATTAAATATATATATATATGATCTTAACATAACGAATTCCCTCACACGAATATAATGTAAGGTAAAAAAGTGTTATTGTATTATGGTCAAAAGTCGTGAAGGTAACAAATAGACATATTTTGCATTATTATATATTAGTATGGATCCCTTAATATTGTAGTCCTAATCAGACATTATACTTATTGAGAATTATTTACTATCAATAGTTTTGTACAATTTTATCATTAATATTTTATGAATTGAAATTACAAAGAAAATATCATATATCACATTAATTTTATACATGAAATTTTTACTTTTTTTTTTGTGAATGATAGTTATTTTTTAATTACTTATTTAAGGTTATGTTTTTTTACGTACATTAGAGAGATGAAGACAATTTTGTTTCAGATCTTTCAAAACCATTTTTTCAGGTTTATCTATCGATGACATCGATTATAATCGGTATCCCGACAAAGATTTTCAGATAAAATGGATTGAAATATATCTAGAGAAATATTTGGATGATCAAAAGCCGCCGTTTTCAAGCGTTGAAAAAATATACAAGGAAGTCCAACAGCTGTCATTGGCGTCTCACTTTATGTGGGGGATATGGTCTTTGGTGCAATATGAATTATCCGATATTGATTTCGATTTTGGAAGGTAATAACATATTTGGGCATTTATAATCATACACTAAACATTATGGTAGAGGAGCCCAAGAGGGGATTTTTGCAGTTACTCAAGCGCGGCAGATTAACATAAGAGGGGATACCTTGCACTCTGTTGAGTACCTCCACCATAATATAAGTCCTTTATATAAGAGCGTGCGTCTAGGGCAGCCGATCAAAATATTTAAAATGTATTTTGATAAGGTAGAAATACTTGAAACCGTCAGATTAAGGTATGGTGGGCTAATTACATCCTGAAAAGTGTGCAATTCAATAATCTGCCGATTTGCACAAGCCGAAGAGGCAAAAATCAACATAAAATTTATAGTCGATAGCATTGCCCGCGCCTCCACCCGCTTTCAGATCACCAAAAACCAAATTCTCAGGTTTTACATATTAATATAATCTTACTATTCAGTTTTTGTATTTTTTCTCAGAAATGACCCGGATAACCAGCTATCATCATATCAAATTTCATCAAAATCTGTCCAGTGGTTTTCTCGTGATGCGGTAACAGACAGACAGACAGACAAAAATTCTAAAAACTATAGATTCGGACTCTGTATCGATAATAATGTCTATTTAAATTGATTTTCCAAAAAGTATTTAATGTACAGATTCGACTTAGTTACAATTTTATTATATGTATAGATTATTTTGCTAAAAAAATAATTTCAAACAGTAGTTCTATCTAATAAGTATAAAATACACGGAAATAGTGCGACGTATCAGATGCCTACAGTTGAAATAATATTTATTCTGATTTCAGATATGCTGAAATTCGTCTGAACAGATACTTCGAAACGAAGGACGCTGTTTACAAAGAATTGCAATGATTGTTATAAACAACTCATTCAAATTGTAAAATACTATTATGTATTACAAAATTATTTATTGTTATATAATTTATTGACATGATAAATAAAAAAATTGTTACTAACAAAAAGTTTTTTAACTAACATACTTACTTTTTTAAAGTATTTTACTTTATTTACTACTAGCGACTCACCCTCACTCCGCTTGGGTTCGTCCCTAGGTACGTTTTAACGTTTAGTATAAATTTCCCAGAGATGATATATTTTCCCGCAGTAAAAAGTATCCTATATGTTGACCGAGATAACTAGCTATTATCATACCAAATTTCATCAAAATCTGTCTAGTTGTTTTTTCGTGATGCGCTCACTGACAGGCAGAAAAATTCTAAAAACTTTAGATTCGGGCTCCGTATCGATAGTAATATCTATTTCAATAATATTTTTCAAAAAATATTTAATGTACAGATTCGGCTTAGTTACAATACACAATTTTATTATATCAATAGATATGTATAAGTAGATATAGCTATCACAGCCTACAAAATACCTAGTATTACGAGTCTATCAGAAGTAGGTCAGGTAGGCCAAGTAAAATTCAGTGTAACAGCACACAGTTTTTATTATTTTATACAGAGTCAAAGTAACGCCTCAAACGACATTACAAAAAGGAATGACGCATCACGCAATATTTTAAAAGTCATGAAACAAAATACGACGCTGCTCCCGCCCTTTTTCCACTCAAGATGACAACGTCAGAAAACTTAAAGAAGTATTTTATATCAGTATGACAACATAAAGAATAAAATAATGAATCTACAATAATACATATAAGTCCTATTTATATAATTAATAATTTATATTATTTTTAGTATAACACTAGCCTATAAATGTTCACCTATTTGAATTGTTTAAAATAAAAAAAACTGTCATTTATAAAATTTACAATTATCAAGATATATCTAGTACCTAATCTCATATGTTGAAGCATTTGAAAACTGATTGATTATAAAATAAAGTCATCAATTTATAAAAAGTAATAATATACATAGAATCGTTTTTTAGCTTTTATAATGGGAAAGCTATTTGGTGATTTAGCATACATCCGAGGGATTATTTACTACACAATTTCTCCGCATGAGCAAAAACCATTTGCACGTGCAATTTCACACGGAATTCTTAATTTTATTCCCAGGACGAGCGCAACCATCCTCACATGGCTACCACGTAAGTTATACAATATGCATGCTATATTTAATGCGACTATTGGAAACATTAGGTTCCAAATTTAAAGATTTAAGGTTCAAATTTACTCAGACTTTATTGCTCTTACATATTACGAGCGGTGACTCACCCTCGCTTCGCTCAGGTTTGTCTCTAGTTTGCTTCCCAACACAAACTTTCATTCCCATTTTCACCCCCTTATGGGTTTTTTCCGGGATAAAAAATATCCTATTTCCTTCCCAGGGTCTCAAAACTATATTCATACCAAATTTTATCTAAATCGGTTCAGTAGATCCAGAGATTACCCCCTACAACGTCATAATATAAAATAACACTTAATAATAAAAAAATGAGAATATTTTTACTTTTTTTAAAGAACTGGTATTTTTAGCTTTCATATTGGGAGTGTTAGTTTATAAAGGTGTAGAAGAAGCTCATCGCCAGAAGTTACGCAAAAACCCAATGGATTATATTAACGATGTGTAAAATAAATTTCTACGAAATACCTAGAAATAGAATTGGTTAAAATGTTTTTATCGTTAATTAAAACTGCATATTTTTGTGTTTGTTTATTTGAAATTTAGAGATGCTTCATTAATTTTTAATACATACTTAATGGTATCAAAATTTGATCTAAACAATATTTTTATAAAGTACTATAATATATCAATTTTGTTTGACACCACGGCACTACCAGCTTGGAGAGAAATTTTGTCCCGAGAACTGAAAATACCAAATTATTTGCTACAAGTGAGGTATTAAAATATATTCTGTAGGTATTAATTATACTAAATTTTCACATTTGCCATTATTGAAATTAATTCAAATTACCTGAAGAAAAAAATCCTTCGCCAGATTTGGAGCATTGCAGCCAAAAACTAGGCATTTGATATTGTGTTGTATAAATGTGGATAAACTGACCCATTCCCATTCATCAGTCTCTCAATATTTTGGTCTTTTCGAATTAGACTGGATTGCCACAAGACCAACAATAAAACTAAAATAAAACTATAATATGGGGATAAAAAATAAAAGAAAAAAACTATGTTAAATCATTCTTTTACTAAGCTTTAACATTAAGAATGCACAAGTAATGTTACAATCAGTATGGTTGAACCACTTAAAATGTACATGTGGATTGTAGGCCAAAGGCATTTAAAAATAAATAATTTTCACATAAGGTGAACTGCAGGGTACGGTTTGTTACAGTGATTACTATCGGAAAATAAACCTATGGTTAAATGTTAAATTGCAAAGCGTGAAAATAATAATACAATCTGAGCAATTACTATATTTGGAGATACAAATAACGAGTTGCATAGGCCCATAGTGTATGTAATTGTCCTTATGTGGGAGGTCTCTATAAAGACCCATGTTTGTTGTGGAATGTTACTACATTTTTTTTTCTTTAATTTAACTAACTCACACCGATTTATAAATGGATGTTAGTATTTACTATTTAGGCTATGGTGTGAATCCAAATACATTCAGTGCAAAGCAATGTGAAAAGCACACATCGTTATTTAAACATAAATGACAACTCTATAATTCAATTTAAGTTGTGAACGTTCACCGGTGCTGTATATTTAAATTATTCTAACAATATATTGAAATTCATTCGGTTAAAATAGTTCTAACTAGAATGACAACTTGATGATTTCAATATGGCTTTAAAGGCATTTTTTATGTTTATATCCTATCTAATATAAGCCTATTTTAATAGATAAACGGTATGGGTTATGAGTGCCGATGCCATATAAACAATAAAACCATTAGAAACCTAGAACTTATATAATTCAATCATTTTCTATGATCAAAACAAAAAAAATATATATACTATAGTATTATTCAAAACAGTAAGCAAGATTAATATTAAATATATTCACTTATCTCATCCAGGATAATAATTTATTCAGTTTTTATCACATATAAAACATGTTGCAACAATTCAAACGAATACACAAACCACTGTAACCACATCGTGTAAATAATTAATTAATACTATCCAGTGTTACTTTATTAGAAATGCGCTATTATTTCATAGTAGTTATAGACATGTTGACAAAAATTAAAATTGTAAAAACAACACTGTGATTTGCCATGTTATTAAGTCAAAACTAAATATTGACTGTAATTTAAAGTATCTATTAAATGTGTGTATTGTAAGCTAATTATTAATGATTTATTAAACTAAATAACAGCTTTAGACACTTGCTTGGACATGGACTTTGAACAATAAAATAACTTTACAATCATTACAATTGCAAATTTTGTATTAAATTATGGCATGATAGCGAGCAAGTTAAAACACTAATTATTAAATAATATAAAATGGAGATTCAATTGGAACCGTCTATTGTAATTGATACTTTATTATTTTTTATAACATTTTCACTAATATCTGACCTACATGTTGTAACTATCATGCCATGTTCAAGTAATAATTGCACAGTATATTGGGTATTTAGGGTATTTGACGTCTTGTAAGTTAATGAAAAAAGTTTTAACCAATCAAATTATTTTTTTCAGCAGATGCACATAATTATATTAAATAATAAATTTAACTAAAGAAATCATTTTTCATAAGAAATATAATTAGTTACTACTGCAAATTATGTAGCTTTAGACATGTTATGTGCCAAAAATGAGGCTATTTATTTCTTTATATTGTCTATCATTTTTATTTATTTTTACTGTTTAACATAACATCCGCTCTATATAAAAGCGACTGGCGTAAAGTAATCACAGACTCAATAGTTACCTTCGAGACTTGATATATTTTTATTAAAAAACTATAACTTCATATACATGTTAAGGTAAGGAAAAAAAGAAAATTTATAAGGCTACGTTCTGGCACCACATAACACAACATAGTAAAAATTTAGTACATATAATTTGCCAAATACCCTATTGGATATATTGTACAAGTCTGTACCTGAGAAGCATAACACTGTAACTCCGTTTTTTTACGATTTTGTGTTTACAGTATACTAATAATCGTATGTGTCCTTTTTATAATAACACTGTTCGTAGCACAAATTAATATGTACATCATTACACTGTAGCACAATTATTATATTAATCTATTCCACATGCCATTATAGAAAGGACACATGCTATATATTAAATATACTGTAATGTCTCCCATTACGATACGCCCAGACGACTCTGGTATCTTGCGAGTCTTGGAGACTAACCGTACATACATTTGTATCGGTGCTGGCGCACTACGCCACCGGCATAGTCCGCGTCCGCGCCCCGCCCGCCGCCGCGCTGGTCGTCGGCGCGTCGCATCTCCTACGCATCTCGAAAAATTCGTTCGTTCATTAAAAAAACACAGAACAAACGATGCATTTTGTTATTTTTCAGTAGTGTAATGTGCGAACGTCGAGTTGCCAACAATTAGTATTCTATGTGTTTCGTAATGGGAGAAGGGTCTTATGGTTCTCAGGTACACGAGTGACGGGGTGTCCAAAGCGGGTGTGGTTAGTGGTGCGTTCACTCCACGTCCATGTGGTCGGGCGCGGGCGCGGCGGCCGGCGGCGGGGCGTCGCCGGTGGGCGCGGGCGGCGGCGTCTTCTCCTTGGGCTTGGGTTTGTTCAAGATAGGGTTCACGGTGTTCTCGAACGACTGTAAATTTTTTTATTCATCAGAATATGTGGACGTTAATGTGCTTCGTAGTGACTGATTCGCTATCAAAACGCTGATGTTAATAGTGACACTTGTAAACGTTATTTTTTTTAAATTTTACCCCTAGTGACAACTTACATATTATATCGTTAAAGACTGCGATCAGAATAATTTGGGCGAGAGCACGTTCATATTCCATATTTTTATTTTTCAAATATAATTGTCGTTATATTAAAAAGTTTTTTAAAACTGAAGGAGGACGTATCTTGAAAAGCCATCATTATAAACTACTAAATTGACAGTACATTGTTTTTTTCATTAAACCATAACATTTTTCAACTGATACAACATAAACATGGACGATGTAGTCGTGTACCTGTCGCTCCTGTCGGATCTGGTGCGTGGTGTGCGGCGGCGGCAGGTGCGGGGGCGCGCGCGCGAGCGCCTGGCGCGCCGCCTCCAGCCACGCCGCCGCGCTCTGCTGCGCCTCCGCCACCTTCTGCATGTCCGCCTCCGACAGGTGCGCGTACTTGGCGTCGCCGGCTCTGTCGCGGCAAGTAAACGTATATATATGTGACTTAGGGAAATATATTCATTACTAGCAGAACCTGCGGCTTAGCTCGCGCTAAAACTACAAAAAAATCTCTTAAAAGGTACCTAGGTTTCATACAAACTTTCAACCCCTATTTTACCCTTTTTTTGGATTTTTGGATGCCTATGTGATACTCCAAGTTATAGTCCATCTGTGTAATTTTCATCCAAACCCGTCCAGCCATTTCAACTTGAAAAATTATCAAACATAACCATACAAACATTTTATATACACTCCAATTACTCAATTAGTTTACGAAAAACTTCATGATTTGTCAAACACAAGTTTTGTAATTATTGTACCACTATTAAGTGGTAATAGAAAATTATTTATAACTAGTGGCTCACCCTTGCTTCGCTCGGGTTCGTCGCTAGGTACGTTTTAAATAGATATAAATAGTTATTAGCCAGCACTAGCCATATAAATATTATTTTTTTTTCGTTAAGTTTTCATTTTTTTCTCATTATTAAAACCTCCTGTGGACCTTAAGGAACATACGAAAAAAAAATTAGCCAAATTGGTCTAGCCATTCTTGAGTTATACGCTTACCAACATTCATTTTTATTTATAAAGATAAAGTATATTGAACAAACCTGTACAAGTCAATAGCTTTATTGGTTAGCTGGATCGAGAGAGCAAACTCTTCAAGAGCAGCGGGGCGCAGTTCGAATTCAAGTCGTCGTTGTTTAATAGGTTCACCTTCTGTCCGTAACTCTGCCAGTTTATCACTGTACACCTGTAAATATATGAAAATATTAATTACTAGCGACTTATGCTTTCTTTGCTCAGGTTTTAAATGTCTAGGTACATTATAATGGTTAGTATGGAATAGATAAAGTATATGTTATATATATACATAGGTATTCTGAGTGTTTGTGGCTTCCCGTGGGTATGAGATAATCTCCCGCGGTAAAAAGTAGCCTATATCATTTTCCAGCCCTCCAACTATCTCCACACAAAAATCACGCGAATACGTCACTTTGTTTCGACGTGAAAGAAGGATATACAAACATACTTACATTTATAATAGTATGTATTACAACCTATAGCATGTTTTATTACAATCTTCTTATTCTTATTTTGATTTAAAAAAAAATACTATCAAAATTACCTGTCTGTTTTGATCTTCGCCTTCATCGTAAAGCCACTGTTCGAGAGCATCGAGTTGGTTCACAAGTTTCTGGCGCTGGTCCTCAGCCACAAAGTCGTGTAATACCTCACCCTCGGACAACTTGCCTCGCAGCTCGTACACGTACTCCTCGAGGGCATTGCGAGCGTCGGCGCGCTCCTTCTCTTGACGATCTTGGGCTTGCATTTTACCCTACATATGTGAAAGTTTATGAGTGTGTGTTTCACTTCTTCACACTATAACATCTCAATAGTTTTAAGTCAAATTGGAAATGAAGAAAGCTCATTCTCCACTGGTTTAATATAATATAAGCTTTTTGTTCTTAGCAAGCGTACCACGCGAGTGGAAGTGTTAAAATAATGCACACATGTAGTAGTTAAATAAGCACACAAAACAAATAATAATGTAACATAGTGAATATCGGTACCTCTTGTTCCATGTAAGCGTTAAGCTCATGTTGAGCAAAGCCATGGGTTTGAGCGTCGATGGGCAATTCAATAGTTTTCACCAACACCTTCTTAGATTTGTCCTTAGACTTATCCTTTTTATCATCATTTTGATCCTGGAAATAAAACACCGGCGGTTCAAAACATTAAAATAAGTATTTCCCCACTATCCCATCGCTATAGAAATATGAACATCGATATTGAGCAAATATACAGTATGTATTTAAACGATGTAAATATTTGGAAGCGATGCGATGACCCATTTGCACCTAAAACCACAAGCAATAAAAAAACTTATACTAACTAAACCTTACATCATCCCGGTCGCCGCTAGGAGAAAAAGGATATATAATTGAATAAATGCAGGGTAAACAAAAACATGCGTGGACACAGAGACTATATTTACTCAAAAGGTTTTCAACACAACCAAAATTATCAATATCGTATCTTCAAAAGGTAACACGAAAGCCTCACGAAAATACTGTGCAAATGAGTGAGGGTGGGGAAGCAGCAAACTGCGTGGTGTCTGTTGCGCTTCCGGGCAGAGATATTACAACAAGAATGTCATCAGTTAGGCATTTTAATTTATTGAAATTAAAAAAAAAGTTCCCGTCGCCTTCGAGAAGTTTTTCAAACTTCAGCCATATATAGTTAGAAAGAAAGAGCAAACAAAAGCACCGGAGACGTCTGAGGCGACGGCGAGCAACAGACAGCACGGGAGTGCAGACGGCGCTACCGACACATACCCCGCTGAACCACTGTCCTACTCTCTGTGTCCACGACTGCCTGTGCCGGTCGTCCCGCGCGGGCTCTGCCCTCACCTCTTGGTCGGGCGCGGCGTCCTGCCCGCTGGTGTCCATGGGCGCGTCGTGGGCGGCGTCGTTGGAGTTCTCCATCTCGACGTTCTCGCTCTGCGCCGAGTCCTGCTTTTTCTCCACGAGGGAGGCGGACGCGACCGTCACGACGCCGTGGATGTTCACGCGCACTTTCAGTTTAACCTTTTGCGATTCGCCCTCCGCCGTCGGCTGCACGTCTCTTATGTTCCACTGACCTATTGTTGAGAATATTACTTAAAGTCACGCGAGTTTTTGTGGGAAGATAGAAAAAAAAAAATTTTATTTTCTTAGTTTGACCATAGAGACCATCAGAAAGAAAGAAAACTAGTTGAAGAAAACTCCATCCAATAGATGATGTAACAGGGATTAAATTATAATGATAAACAGGATAAAATTAATCCTGAAAAAAAAAAGAAAAAAAAAGAAGTAAATTAAAAAATCTCTAAGCAAATGAATAGAAAACGAAATTCATATGGAAATAGTTAAGGTCCTGATTGAAAAATCTAACCTTAACTTATAAGTTTTTTTTTGTATACTCACACACCAGACATTGTGTACATTATCTAAAAAAACTTCATATTGATTCCACATGGTCATGTGATCATGAAAATTTGTTTTAGTTTTGATTTCTTTTTTCATATTTCACGCATTTAATAGACATGTCATGTTTATTAGTTTAGAAGCCATTGAGAATACATACTCTAATCTTATCTTTGGTTTATAGTATTCAATAGCCGCTTTTGGGCATACAATGTCGATCGTTAATTCAGGGTCAACAAAACAGCCATAATCAGTATTTACAATATTAGAGTGTTCCAATCTTTTTGGTATTGATATAGGTTATCTATATATCATAGTATGAGTCATATTTACTTTGACTAAGGATTTAAACTTACCAATGAAACTATCAGGATATAGCGTTTGATCAGAATAATAGGCCCGAACTGTAAATGGTTCCTTTCTGTAGAATGTGAGCATTTTTGAGAATGGTGCAGCATGGAACGGTGGGAAAACCTAGAAATATTAAAATTTTATAATTTTTACTTTTTATATATTTTTATTATTTTTACTTTAATGAATTGAAATGAACATTAATTAAAAAAAAATATTTTTTTTTGAATAATTTTTATGCTCATTTTAATCTAGTCCGATTTATATATAATAACATATATAAGAAGTATACAAGAAATAAGTAATAATAATTCAAGGTTTTATATTTTTAAATCAATAAGGTCAACTGAAGATAGAATAGTGTCATTGTTGATAGCTTGTAGTATATCTTTCCATAACAGCTAATATTCCATGTTTAAGTTTTATTAATAGGAAAATTGAGTATTCAAACAAAACATCATAAAAAGTTAGTGATGGTATTAGTGAATTGAGTGATGAAAACCGATTCAGCCTTCATTGTGCAAAGAAAGTAAATTCAATTATTATTTAATTTAATATTTAAATAGCTTGGCCAATGATGCAGTATTCCAACCAAAAATGTTAGTATATCTGTCTTTTTGTTCCGGCTAATTTCCAAAACTGCTGGACCGACTTTGACGGGACTTCCACTGGCAGAAAACTGATGTTATAGGGAGTAAATTAGGCTATTTTTATTTTAGAAAAAAAAATTAGGATTCCAGAAAAAAAATTAAAACACATGAAATTCTGAACATACTCCGTGCACCTAGAGGCGAGAGTCCTACATAAAAAATTAAAATCGGCAATCATTGACTGCCGACAGAAGTGAAAACCTATAACTTTGGAATGACAGTTTTCTATTTTGTAAATTAATTTTAGTACGAAAATTTAATGTCATAATTTGTAAATTATTTATTTTTATATATCACACGTAGTATATCGGTAACGTGAACCATGAGTTTTCCTCCTACCAAAATATTATATACATTTAAACATTACTTTGGAACGTTTTAATTTTCTAGAGCGGAACCCTAATTAGATTTCTAAGATAAAAGTAAAAGCCTATATTACTCCCTATAACATCAGCAATCTTCGACCGAAAGTCCCGTCAAAATCAGTCCAGCCGTTTCAGAGATTATCCGGAACAAACAGACAGACAAAAATTAAGAAATAATGTTTTTCTTAGAAGTACCGTATATAATTTTTAGTAAAACGCTGTGCGTTATTTGGACATTACAAACAGACACTTCAATTTTATTTATGTGTATAGAAGATGTACAGATTATATACTTGTATACTAAAGAAGTTTTGACATGATCGTGGCAGTACCTCCATGTCGCCGTCCTCGCCGCGCGCGGCGTCCCAGGCGAGGCGCACGGCGTAGGGCTGCGCGTCGGCCACGCTGAAGTCGCGCACGCGCACGGCCGGGCTCAGCATGGCGCACTGCAGCGCGCAGCCGCGCGACACCGCCTCGTCCTGCGCCACACACACTTCAGGTTTAACATCGTTTATCAAAAGAGATATATTTAAACGAGAAATACTTGTGTATTTATTTATACCGGCGATCTCGGAACGATCGATTCGATCGATCTCAAACGGATGATTTCGCTGAAATTTGGTATGCGGGGGGTTTTCGGGGGCGAGAAATCGATTTAGATTAGTCTTATGTGTGGAAAAACCCGTGTTTTCGAGTTTTTATGCGGTTTTCTTTTGCATTATTCCACGCAAAATATAATATTGTACTATATATATAGGCAATCGAAAGTGACTAACTGATAAGTAAATAAAATATTAATAATTATTTTTATATCCATAGACTGGAAAATTGAAAATTTACCTGATTTAAAGTAGTAGAAGCTTGTTTGCCAAATACTTGCTCAATTAGACCCTTTACAGCTGGTATCCTAGTGGAACCTCCTACAATTTCTACTGAACTTATATCTTCAGGTCTTAATTCTACAAAAAAAATTAAACTATTTAGTAATCATTCAATTCAAATAGTTTTAGGCTTATATACCAAAAGAATATAAAAGGTATTGAATATATGACTAGGGTATTTATAGATCTTACACTAATAATAATGCCCTCCCAACCGATTACAGCCACGACATCCAATCTCTTCGAGGTAGTCGAGCGCGAGATATTAAAGTGCAGTGCTAACTTCCCAACCCGAGACTCAAACCCAGGACCTCCAGATATGCAGCTGTACATGCTAGCCACTACACCACCGATGCAGTTACACTAATATAAATATATCAACTTACTAGCATTATGCAATATAGCCCTCAGAGTTCTTTCCACTCTATTGAATGTATCAGCACAAATCTGTTCCATTTGGGTGCGTTGTAGATCACCAGACACATCGCGCTCTTCCATAAAGCATTCAATATTTAACGGGAGACGAGTGCTATTGGCTGACATTTGCTTTTTAAGCTTCTCAACTTCTTGTAAGAGACGCAGAAAAGCTCTAGAAAATAAAAATGTATTGAAGACATTTTAATAATTAAACAAGAAATAATTTGCCAAAAAAAAATTTGAGTGCTTAAAGAACAAAATTACTATAATTTCTGAAAGAATAATTAATCATTGTATAAAAATTATACATACATTCTCTAAAGTTCAAATAATATATTGGTAATTTAAATTTTCCTTTACAAATTACCAAACCTTCTGTATTCGCGTCCACCGCCACTGATGTTAACTGATAATATTAATACCATAAGCCTCGAAGTCAGACTTTATTTAAATATGCCCAAGTCCAAAATAATGACGAATAGAGTACATCATAGCATCGTAGTGAGTACATGAGTATCTCTATTTGGGCCAAATAGTCCTTCCAAGCAAGACAAAATAAAAAAAAAATCCAAGCGCACTGAAAACGCCTGGAGGAGTTATTGGGCCATGAAAGAACCAATGAAGGGTATCTTCCTTTATCCCTTAGGAAAAAACTCATGGATGTGTACATTGTTCCCATTTTTACATATAGGTTATAAACCTGGTCTCTAACAGGTCAACAAAGATTCACACTCAAGGTTTCCTAAAAAGCAATGGATCAGAGTATATTATGAATTAATATAACTGACTGCATCAAGAATACCATAATCCGTTCCAGAACCCAAATCCCTGATGTTACTCGGAAAGCTGCCATGCTAAAACTGGTCTAGGCTTGTCATGGTCATCCAGATGCCATGTGATCTTTGGGCCAAATAAACAAATTTTTGGATCCCCAACACAGCAGACAGCATGGTAGGCCCAGATAGAGATGGTGGGATGAGTCAGACTTTTTCTGAGAGAATGGTTTATTATGGTGAAAGATAGGGAGCTGTGGAAGAAGAGTAGGGCGACCTTTGCCCTGTAGTGGGACACTACAAGTTTATAATAATAATAATAATAATTTAAATTCTCACCTCTGATTTTTTCTAGCATCAAGTTTATATCTGGTTACAAAATCTTGGCAGAAGTATTCTGCCATTGCCATATCTAAATCTCTGCCACCACAATACGGGTCTGAAGCTGTTGCCAGCACCCTTAATTTACCCTTATTAAATGCACATGCAGCTACCTATAATAAAAATCAAATTGTATTTTTATACATTAAGCTTTAAATTTATATAATACTAATATATTCAAACAAAAATGACTACATTAAAATAATTTAACTTAATCTATTATCATTTTTATATCATTTTTATTTGCCAAAAATTGCCAATATGCATTATATATATTCTTAAGGTTTTAAAAGAAAATTACCTGAAGAGAACTATGACCAAAGTCAACGAAAACAACATTGCGAGGTTTTTCTTCCAGAGCTGGTAAATCTTGTTTGTAAATTCCATATGCTAGTGCAGTTGCAGTGGTCTCATTCATAAGACGAAGTACATTTAGACCTTAAATAAAAGTAGACAGATATTAAATCAATACATCTATATTAGTGACACACATGTTAACTATTTAAGGTCAAGATCATGACCATTATAGGCTATGGAGTGCAACAAAGCCATTGCTACCAACATTCTGATTTATATATAATTTAATAAATCTTATCACATGGAAAACATGACAAAAACTAGCCATTTATTTACAAAAATTAATACAATTGATTTTACATATATATCTAAAAAATGTCATAGAATAAAATCATTTTTATAACATGAACTGTAAAATTTTATTTTAAAAATAATGTGTAAATAATAGTTAATACAAGAAACAATAATGGAAACATTACTTAGACTAAGTTGCTAATTTATATTTAATGAAATCTTTCATAATATGTATAGAATTCTTACCGGCAATGCTTGCCGCATCTAAAAGGGCATTCCTTTCTGCATTAGTGAAGTAACTAGGTACTGATATGACACAATCATTAACCTGAGTTTGAAGAGCAGTTGTTGCTATATCTTTCAATTTTGTGAATAACATAGCTGTAATCTGAAAAATATAAAGCAAATTTTAAATATAGAACATAGAAAGTATAACCATTAATTGAGTAAAGGAAAAACAATTAGATTACTAATTATGTTTATTTAAAGATTTGAAAAATTAAATTTAAAAAAATGAAAATAAATATGTAGGTGGATTTTATCTTATATTTTATCAAAAAAGTTACTTTTTACATAGAGCTTCTTTTGAATTGTTTAATCTGCTTAGGTATAAAAAAGTAAATGAGTTACATAAAACAAAGCATAATAATAAATTAGTCTAACCTGTTCTGGACTAAACACATTATCTTCGCCAAGGTAATTTACTCTTATTCCAATTCCACCATCTGCCCGCTGTTCTACTTTAAACGGAAAGTGTTTCAGTTCCTTTTGCACATGAGGATCCGAAAATTTCCTACCTAGGAGTCGTTTGAAGCCAAATACGGTGTTTTTCATATTTGTTACCATTTGGTTTTTGGCAGCTACACCTAATATTCGATTCTTTGGGGAAAAGGCCACACATGATCTACAAATTAATTATTTATTATTGGACTGAATGACTTGGGGTTATTCATTCAAAAATAACCTATAAAATCATTAGTTATAGTCACTACTACACTTCAGAATTACATTAAGTTGAACTTAATGTTATTATTTGTCGCATGATTGTATTGATCGTTTTTAAGACATATTTACTTAAGTTACCAAATAGAGTCATGCGTCGAGAAAATATAAAAATCTTGCAACATGAAAGTAATTAGAAAAATGTCTATTTTATAATAAGCTTAACATTCACATTTACAAAGACAATAATGAATTGATATCGATTATATGGTTTCTTTTTGTTATAAGTTTCAGGTATAATGTGACAATTATATACATAGAAAAATGTACTCACGGTGTACCTCGAAGACTATAATCGTTAGTTATTGTCTCAATGCCACCTGCTTTTGCAACAGCAATATAACACGATTCATTGCCGAAATCAATACCTATAACTGACATCGCGGCCATACTGGTCTTAAATTACGAGATGATAGACACAAAAGCTTTGAAGTTTAATAATTCACCCTTTTTTCGCTCACACAAAACACGTTGCTTTAGTCTGACAATCAGTCACTCTATCGCAGGCAGATTCACAGTGGAACGCCGGCTCTCGCTCTGCAACATACTACAAGTACACAGAGTCTAGATATTATTTCCTTGTAGGTACCCGAAATTTCTAGAAGCACAGATTATATAAGAAATTGTGAAAAAAAGAATAAATTATGAACTAAAAATATAAATAACCATTTTCAGAAAATAACAAAAAAGAACTTTAAAGTGAAAAAAACCTTATTTAGAATTTGGTATGATAACAATCATGGTGATTAATAAAAATAACAATTATTTTTAGAGTCTACTCTTTAAATATGCTATTATAACGCCATAAATGATTAAGTATATGTCAACGAAAGACTCCTACTTAACTAGTGTTCGCCCAGTTATCGAAATCCGATCATAATAATTATTAAAAATTAGAGGAAAACATATTATATGAAATAGAATTTACGTATCTGTATAAGAAAAAAATAAAATAGGTGTCATGAGGACTGCCGACAGAAGTAAAAACTTATAATTTCGGAATAACTGTTTTCTTCTATTTATAATTAATTATAGTATGAATAGTTAAAATTTGCATCCCTTGGCACTCTGAGTAATAATTATTCATATTTTGATATAGTTTATTTATTAATCAAAATTTATATATTATTTAATATTTTTTAATATTATAATTATATTAAATATTAATCAAACGCGCAGCGTCTTTAGTTTGCGCTAGACTGCGTCGACACTTCATAAGTACGAAATACGAATAAATAATTTAAGTCTAATTCAAAACAAATTCCACACAAAAAGTGGCTCTACTTCAAACCAAAACGACGTATGATTAAAATACGAATCACTTCTGAGGTTACAAACAGACATGCTTGGTGATTGGTTCAAATTCAGACTGAAAGCAGGGATTGGTTTGCGCTTTTGTTGCGACTCTATGTCTCGCGAAATATGATTAATTTTGTTAAATCTTTGTCTAGAAGACATTAAAAGAGAAATTCAACGATTATACATTTTATTAACGTGAAACTAGCGACTAAACCTGAAGTCCAAGGGTTTGAAAAGAATTGAAATAAGATTATTTTTAAATTTTGTTTTTCTTGGTTCTTCTTCAACGCCGTCATTAAATTCAGTGTTGGTATTATCCTCCTGAAAATAAAATTGAGGATCAGTTTCAAATCTATGAAATACTGTCTCTATTTAAAATTGATACGTATATACAGCTAAAACAAAAATATATAAATATATGATATATTTTTACTGCATGTTATCAATTGATGGTAAAGTGATCTGTTTCATAGACCCGCTTTCATAATTCGCTCGATTGATAAATTTAATCTGAATACACTTACAGCAAGAACTAATATTCTTAAATAAAAGAAAAAATATTTTAATGAAAGATCAATGTAGAAAGTTGGTATTATTGCGTACCAACACAATTTTCAGTTTGTACATGGTACAAGCATGGGGTACAAGACTCTAAAAATTGGTACACATACCAACAAATTGGTACGTCTAACATCCCATTGTCAATTTGTGTCTTGTTGTTCCTGGTACATGTGATGTCAACATAAAAATGTACCTACCCTGAAATCTGAACTTTCACTCGGAACATTGAATTTTTTGACCTAGCAATAGGGCCAAATCCAAGACCAAAATGAATGAAATGAATTTCCGAATGTGACAAATGACAATTTTAAGTTGACTGTTGAAAAGAAAGACTGAGAATTGAGATATGACATATAAGTAGTCTCCTTAAATCATACCTAATCTATGGAATTGAGATTTGAGATTGACATTTGACATAAGACAAATGCTATAAAATTTGTAAGATATTTTTCTATATTTCTAAAACATTAAACTTATTATGTAAATATGATTAATTATATTAGTATTTTTGATTAGGGTTAAAATTTATTATATCATTGGAGTAAATTTATATTACTAAAACTGTAAAATCACAAAAAGCAAAACGATTGTACAAGGATAAAGGTTATCTCTTTAAAGAATGACGCTAGCATTACGTTGAATTACGAGGTCACCTTCAAGTGTTGACCGGTAAGAAATTATAATTTTCTGTCCGCTCTAATGACTGTTGGTATTCGTGATTTCAGGATATAGTGAGTGGTTATCGTCAGTATGAGCAGTGAACCCCAATCGAAGCGTACGAAAATGAGCGCCTTAGATCAACTGAAACAATTTTCTACGGTTGTAGCCGACACTGGCGATTTTGAAGGTGAATATATTTGAAATTATTAATATAGTTTTTAAATTCTTGTAAGAATTTATGGTATTATATACAAATATTTTTACAGCCATGAAAGCCTATAAACCTACCGATGCTACAACAAATCCAAGCCTCATTTTATCTGCAGCTGGAATGGAGCAATACCAACACTTGTTGGACAAAGCCATTAAATATGGCAAAGATTGTGGAGGGTAAACATTACTTTTGTTAAGTTAGTTATTTAGAGTATTTTTTAAGAGATGGTTGAAACTTGTCAATATCTAGTTAGGAATAAAATGTAGTTGTTAAACCTTGCATCAGTCCAGTGGCTTACTAGGTATGCTTAAATACATAGAAATGTTTATTGGGAGTGTACCTTAGAAGATAGACATATGCTATGTAGGCTTTTTTAAGACCTACAATACTCTCATAAGCTTATAATGCTTAGCCAGTCTTAGCCATGTAAATCTCTAAGGATGATTTGATAGAACCACTTATTGTGTTTTCCCATGGCAATGAATGATTTCCCGTAGTAAAAGGTATCCCAAATTTTGACTTGAGTAATAAGTTATCACTACACAAAAATTTTGTTATAATCCGTTGAGTACATTTTGTGTAAAACACACAGACATGCAGACAAACAGACAAAATTTTTAATGACTGTTGTTTTGGATTCTGTACACAATTTTAAAAAAATATTTCATATACAGATTTCGCTAATTTACTAGTTTATTATATGTATAGATATACCTACTAAGCTTACATACATCAGCTATAAAAACTTTATTAAGCCTATAATTAGTATTTAATCAGTAATTAAAGTTAATTGCATATTGATAATTTAATTCAAATAATATGTTGTAATTACAGAAATTTAGATGAACAATTATCTGAAACATTGGACATGCTCAGCGTATTATTTGGATGTGAAATTTTGAAAATAATTCCTGGAAGAGTGTCAGTTGAGGTAGATGCCAGGTAGGTGTATTAGAATATCAAAAATCAAATCAAAGATAATTATTATAATTTATTATATATATTATATTTTGTATATTTTCTATATAAAGGCAAAAAAAGTTACATTTTCTTTACTCTACAGGTTATCCTTCGATAAAGATGCTAGCATGGCTAAGGCTTTAAAGCTTATTACAATGTTTGCAGAGCATGGTATTAAGAAAGAAAGAATTTTGATAAAGTTGGCATCAACTTGGGAAGGAATTCAAGCTGCAAAGTAAGATTTAAGATACCAGAATTAATAATTATAATTATGTGTATACTATTATTTGAGTAAATATTGTTATTTTAAACAGGGAATTGGAGAAGAAACATGGCATTCACTGTAATTTGACATTGTTGTTCTCATTATATCAAGCAATAGCATGTGCAGAGGCAAGTGTCACTTTAATTTCACCATTTGTCGGCAGGATACTGGATTGGTTAGTATTAAACGTGTTATTTCTGCCTTTCACCAGATATTCAGTATGTTCAAGACTAAACTGAACCTTACAGCCCATAAGGTTAAACTAAAAAAATTTGAGGAAGTAACATATGCTTAATTTTGACAGGTATGTTGAACACACAAAGAGTGCATATGAGGCTAAGGACGATCCAGGTGTGTTGTCTGTGACTCGTGTATTCAATTATTATAAGAAGTTTGGTTACAAGACACAAGTAATGGGCGCCTCATTCCGCAACACTGGGGAGATAAGAGAACTTGCTGGCTGTGACTTATTAACTATTAGTCCAAAACTATTGCAAGAACTTGCTAACAGTGACCAGCCAATTAAAAAGGTGGGTTATACAACAATTTTTTATTTCTACAAGTTATATTAATAATTAAAGGGTTTTGATATTTATCATGTTAATTTAATAATAAAAAAAAATCGATACTAAACATTTTTGTGTGATTAAGTAGTGTAGCTTTACGCAACTAATAATTATTGCATAGTAATTGATGTCTTTTTTTTAAATCTTTTATGGTGTAGGCATAAAGGTGAAAGTAAATGAAACTGATCAAAGCAAAATCTAGTTGTGTTTTTATGGTAACCAATTATGTTGCCGTTATACTTGACTGATATTAATGTTGATTTCATCCACTATAAGACAATACCTAAAACAGTACATAAGGCAGTAATATGCATGATAATGGAAATATTAACATCAACAAGAAATTTTATCAGCATGACTGCGTTTTTACTTTAGATACATAGAAGGTATAACAACCTTGAATGTCCGACATACATTTTAGATGTGTATGGAGCATTGTTCACTGATACTACTGTTTTATAACCATGGCCTAAATTTCTTTCATCTTTTTTATGCTTAAGACAGCATTGCCAGGGAAATTTAAGTTATGTTTTATAAAATATGGCAACATATTTTCATTGCATCATTCATTTTCATATATATATATATTTTTTAATTCGCAATTGTTATTACGCTTATCGTTTTGCAGGCATTGGATTCTAAGAGTGCTGCACAGAGTGATATTGAAAAGATTTCTCTCAACGAAGCCCAGTTCCGTTGGCACCTGAATGAAGATCAGATGGCCACAGACAAACTTTCTGAAGGCATCAGGAAGTTTGCAGCAGATACTAGAAAACTAGAGTCACTTATTAAATCAATGCTTGCCAAGAAATAAATGTCTTTTATGATTTGTACACAATTCTGATGTATGGGGTTTAAGGTTATAAATGTTATGGATATTATTGAGAGTTAATTTTTTGTCTTCCTACTGTTGTAGAAATAGTCTTTTATACAAATGTTAGCATTTAAGCACAATGTTTGTTAAGGGTCCAACATTTTTTTATACATTCCTGGTTTTGTTATAAATTTTACACTGCCTTCTTTATGTTGTATGTTTTATTTGGAAATAAAACATTTAATAGAATATTTTTTATTTCATTTTTCTCATACAAAATATTAACGACTCACCCTCGCTCCGCTTGGGTTCGTCCCTAGTTACGTTTTAACGTGTAGTATAGATTTCTCAGAGATGAGATATTTATCCGCAGTAAAAAGTATCCTATAAGTTGACTCGGATAACTAGCTGTCATCATACCAAATTTCATCAAATTCCGTCCAGTTGTATGATACTGTCTCAGACGGACGGACAGAAAGATATTCTTAAAACTAGATTCGGTCTCTGTATCGATAATAACGTCAAATTCAATAAGATTTTCCAAAAAATATTTAATGTACAGATTCGACTGAGAATTTTATTATATGAATAGACCAGCGTCTAGCCCTCGGTCTGCGTTATTAGATATCTATAAGCGGAAGCTAAGATTTATTTTCATTTTTCATGATCTGCTAAACTTTATAACCAAATTACATCCATATTATAATATTATAAATGTGAAAGTGTGTTTGTCTTTCTTTCACGTCGAAACGGAGAGACCGATTGGCGACATTTTTGGTGTGAAGATAGTTGGAAGGCTGAAGAGTGACATAGGCTACTTTTTATCGCGGGAGATCATCTCATTCCAACGGGAAAACACGTTATAATACAATCCAAAAATTTATTTCTGAACAGAATTACTTCAAACTTGGCTTTAATACTCTTCAATATCTTATTATATATATAAAAGAAAGTCGTGTTAATTACACTATTTATAACTCCAGAACGGCTGAACCGATTTGGCTGAAAATTGGCGGGGAGGTAGCTTAGAACCCAGAGACGGACATAGGATACTTTTTATCCCGTTCGACCGCGTTCCAATTTTTATGATATTTTAATTTTTGGATTTCTCTTAGTCCGGAATAGGTAAGTATTAAAACATCAGAATAATTAACGAAAAAAAATAAAATTTATATGGCTTACGCTGGCTAATAACTTTTTATATCTATTTAAAACGTACCTAGCGACGAACCCGAGCGAAGCGAGGGTGAGCCGCTAGTAAATAAATAAATACGTGTTTTAGCATTTTTCGAAACTCATCCTATAAGAGGGTAAAATAGGGAGTGAAAGTTTGTGTGAAATCTATGTAGGTAACCTAACTTTTTAGTATTTTTTTTTGTAGTTTTTATAGTTTTAGCGCGAGCGGAGCCGCGGTTTCTGCTATATAATTATATCAATATTAGATATTTTTATAAAAAATAATAGGTATTATGTAGTTCAAATAATCAGTCACTATTATTTATTTTAGTTATTTATTTATTCTCCAAAAAAGGGCTATTCGGGCAATTTATAACATCGGAGCTCCGGATACCCTACAAATTTTTTTAAGGAAATTGTTGTAGGTAGTAGTTACGGTTGCATCGCAATATATATATATATGTGTGTATATTATGTATGTTATATTATGTATGTCCGACAAAACATTCATTGTTATTTAAGATACAGTGATAGACACGAAATAAACTAGAAATAAGGATTACGCCTAGCTTTCTTTTTCAAAAAGTGAATAGATAGTGAATATGGGGCAAGACGTACGCATGTATAATAGAATTCAACAATCTATTTTGAGCTTGCCATTTAAACAATTTAAGTCTAAAATTAAAAATGTATTACTGAATAAGGCTTATTAACTTTCACGGAATACTTCGTAGATATCGTAGATATTAATTCTAATATAAAATTTTGTAATAACTTTTGATATAATTGATCGAGTTAAATAAAATAAATGCTACCTTAAGATACGGACTATGAATATATAGAATCCTTGAATTCAATTAAGTAGTTTTTATTTGATTTGATTTTAAATAAACAAAATTTCTAAAAACGATAGAAATTTCTTTTATTAGATACTTATCCTCAGTCCACCAAACTATATTTTTTGCAAATTTAAGCGATCTTTAGACACGGGATTTTCATTCTGATTATATGTATAGATCTCTACATAGAAATTTAGATAGCGTCCGTTTAGAAAGAGTACGCAAAAACACTTTTTTTTCGACTTGCTAGACAAAGCTTATGGCACGGAATAATATAGCTTTATGATGAAATAATATTAGTAAAAAATTTATTAAAATAACTTCAGTGGTTTCAGAGCTTATCACCTACAAACAGACACACGTACAAGTCTTTCTATTTTATAAACTGCAAGGTGAACAGGCGGACGGAATTCGGATACGGGAGCATTATTAAAATTTATTTCAGTTAGGTACCTATTTGTTTTAGTTTACATTCAGACTTTGTTGAAAGACCTTTTAATAAAGAAATAATCGAATTTTTATTTCATCATACACGACACAATACGATTTCAAAAATTACGCACATCGCTGAGTTTCTAGAAACCTATTAGGTACTTAGTAATTATGTTTATTAAAACAATGTAAACCTGTGTGGTAAATTTACCTTTGATTAGTTGATCGTATATTATTAATAATAAATCATAAATATGTTTGCGTGTATGACGTAGGTCGCGTACATACCAGTAGGCATCAGCCATCAGAGGAAGGAGGCGCGCACGGCGCTGTAATCAATACGCCGCTCTACTTTCAGCGACCTTCCTGTCGTTGCGGCAGCCCGCCTATGCTTGCACCCTGCTGCCCGCCCATGCATTCATGCAAATTTATTCAGCAACAAAGTCCTTTATTTCACGTCGAAATACTATTTAGAATACTGACTTACTAATTTCAGCGTGTTTTTGTAAGTCAATGTTAAATCAAAAATATTAGAAATTGTTTAATATGTAACAAATAAATAAAAATTACCTTAACATAATACCTAACTTTAACATAATCTAACAAAAATTCTAGTATAAATTTGTCTGTAGGTTCTAGATTTCGTAAGTATCATTGATATCGTATTAATCGATCAACGTAGACCTTGCCCACATTGTGATGCAAGCACAGGACATTTCCATATGATTTTCGTCTGGAAGAGAACGTCCCGCCGGGGTGAGGAGGGCGCGGTGGAGGAGGAGGCTTGATATTGACCTAGATGTTCATTCAGAGTTCGGTCGATGCGAAACTTGACATCTGCGCGTTCCTGCGTTTCATGTTTTTAGAGTTAATGTACTATTAATTCGACTACGGAATATTTTTTGCCGAATTTAAATGAAATCAGTGCATTTTATAGTGTGGATACGATCGTCATGATATACTTAATATCATAGAATTACTGCTTTGCGTATCGTTCAGGCTCGGGGAGAGTAATATCATGTTCAGTTTCAAGCGGTACCTGTGCAATCGGCGCTTAAGTGATTCTCAATAAAATGATTAAGTTAATTGATTGATTAGATGAAGTAAATTTTATTTTTTATAATTTTTCATTACCTTATTTCAACATGAAGCCTGAAAAGCAAACAAAAATACCGATTCCGGCAGTCACGAAAGATATACCGGCGATGGATCTAAAATATTCAGACGTGAGTATTCATGATTTTGACAAAGTATTATATTTTTGATGGCAGAAAAGATAAATAAATCAAACTAGTTATTAACACATCCAGGTAAATTTCTAAGAAATTAATTAAAATTTATATAAATTTATTTTTTAATTTTTGGTCGTGGAGGGATTAAATAACTCAACGTGATCGTTTTTTTTGATGGCAAAAATATTTTATTTTGGTTTTATAACAGTGTAAAGAAGAGCTAGGAAAGGAAACTATAGTTGAGGAAACTGAACCCGAGCGCGGGAATTGGACGGGACGTTTCGACTTTCTTTTATCACTTCTTGGATATAGCGTTGGGTTAGGCAACGTGTGGCGATTTCCATACTTATGTTACAACAACGGAGGAGGTATGTAAATTATGAAAATATATTTTAAAAAGAGGAAATATTATTTAAAAATATACATAACATTCACAAAAATATATTATAAATTAGATTCATAAAAATATAATTTGATACATTTTTTTAAATTGTTAGATAACAATCTATTCCAAAAAGCATTTTCATTTTACAGAATCGTTGAGATAAATCTTATTTGTGTAGTATTATAATATCGCTCTTTTGACACTTATTACGTAGCTGTGAGGTAGCGCTCAGGTGGCACTATGGAAATAATGAGCGGCTCTATCGTGCTATCGCTAATGAGTTTGACCGCTAATGCGTTCTTTATGCCTTAACTATGACAAATTGATTTTTATGCAGTTATTGTTTTCCTCATCTTAAAGAGATGACATAGAAATCTATATATATAATAAAATAGTAACTAAGTCGAATCTGTACATTAAATATTTTTTGGAAAATCTAGTTGAAATAGACATTATTATCGATATAGAGTCCGAATCTTTAGTTTTTAGAATTTTTGTCTATCTGTCTGTCTGTCTGTTACCGCATCACGAAAACCACTGGACAGATTTTGATGAAATTTGGTGTGATCATCTGAACGCGGGCGGAGCCGCGGACAATGCTAGTTCATAAACATAAATCTACATTATCTAATTCATGTCATACTACATAATTTATTGATGTTTTAGGCGCATTTTTAATTCCTTTTACTGTGATGCTTGTAATTGCGGGACTCCCGCTCATGTTTATGGAACTCTCGTTTGGTCAATATGCTGCCTTGGGTCCTGTCGCCGTGTACAATAGATTTTGCCCGCTGTTTCGAGGCCTGGGCTACGGAATGGTTATAGTATCAACTATAGTCATGTTATACTACAATCTTATTATTGCTTGGACAATTTATTACATGGTTGTATCCTTCGGAAGTATCTTTTATCAACTTCCATGGCAGAATTGTGACGCTGATTGGAGTACAAAATGTAAGTTAGCATAACATAAAGGTTTGAAATAGAAAGCTTTGTTTATATTTTAAATAAAAAAATAGTGACATTTCCTAACCCATTTAAATGATTTTGTAAATTATTTTAGTTTGTTATTCATATGAAGAAGCCGACAGATGTCAAGCAAGCAACGGTACATATTATCTTCGCCAGTGTTTAAATCAAAGCTACGCAACTCTACACGACATCGCAGCATTGGCAGACGTAGCTCTACGAAAACCACCTGCTGAGGAATACTTTACGTAAGTTTTAGCTTTTAAATGTAAAATTTAATTGCTATAGTAATGTTTATTAAAATTTTATTTTATGCCTCTCAAGTCATTATAATAAAAAACAATATTCGCTTATATTTTTATTATTCGAAGACGTTAACATGATAAAATGGTCGGCAATGTCAAAAACGAATTGCAAAATATAGAATATGTACAGTTTTATAATTTTATTTTTATACATTAATTACTATCAATCCAACGAGTAGGTCATTTAATATTATACTAAACTTAAATAATTAGGCTTAAAAGTAGTAATTAATTACCATAATTGTCGATATAAAATTAGATATTTCTTGTGAACTTTAGCTATTGCTAATCAGTAATCAATATTTGGGAGTAGGTGCAATCAGCTTGTATGACTTATTTTTTATTTAACAACAAATGAATCCAGATTGTTTTCATTTTTTTTTGTTTCTCTGTCTGTTTGTCTGTTTGTACGGATTAATCTCCGAAACTGTTGGACCGGTTTAAATGAAATATTGCATGGTGGTACCTTATATCCCCGGGCGACATTTAAGATACTTTTCATCCCGGAAAATAAAATAGTTCCCGTGAGATAGTTAAAAACCTAAAGTAATTTATACAGCTTAGTACACTAAAACTACTGATTGGATTTTGATGAAACTGTATAATAATACACATAATATATAGTTCATACATCAGACCACTTTTTATCACGGAAAAATATACGGTTACCGTGGTATAGGTTTGTTTTTGTTTGGCCATTAGATATAGTAACATCTATACATATAATAAAACTGTAGAGGTCGAATGTCTGTACATAGAAAAAAAAATGCTAAAAACCGAGTCAGGGGGATGTATGAAGACAAATAGAACAAATCCAGATTTTTTTCAAATTTTTTGCTTCTCTGTCTGTTTGTCTGTTTATCTGTTTGTACGGGCTAATCTCCGAATCTATTGGACCGATTTAGATGAAATTTTGCATGGTGGTACCTTATATATCCGGGCAACATTTTAGATACTTTTCACCCCGAAAAATTAAAGAGTTCCTGTGGGATAGTTAAAAAAACTAATAACTTATACAGCTTAGTACACAAAAACTACTGATTTGATTTTAATGAATCTTTACAATAATATAGTTCACACATGACAATAACTAATCGGGTACTTTTCATCCGGGAAAATTAAATAGTTTCCGTGGGATAGTCAAAAACTATAGTAACTTATACAGCTTAGTACACAAAAACTACTGATTGGATTTTGATAAAACTTTATTATAATATCCATACTAATATTATAAATGTGAAAGTGTGTTTGTTTATCTTTCTTTCACGTCGAAACGGCTGGGCGGATTAGCGTATTTTTTTGTGTGGAGATAATTGCCGGGCTAGAGAGTGACATAGGCTACTTTTTACCGTGGGAAATTATCTCTTTGCCACGGGAAAAGACGTTATAATACAACCCAAAAAAATATTTATGATCAGAATTACTTGAATAAGGAGGTAAAATAGGGGATGATAGTTTGTATGAAACTATATTTTTTGAGATTTTTGTAGTTTTAGCGCGAGCGAAGTCGCGAGTTCTGCTAGTTAATCTATAATATAATAATCCCATATAAATTATCTTTTTATTTTTATTCCTATTATTACAGTAATCAAGTTCTAGGATTGTCGTCTGGTATTGAAGAGACTGGGCATATTCGTTTGGGAATGGCTGCATGTTTGTTTGCTGCCTGGCTTATTGTATTCCTTTGCTTGTGTAAAGGCGTACAATCTTCAGGAAAGGTAATAAATGTAAAAAAATCCTTAGGCCTTTCTGTTTAGCTTTTTATTTAATTTATTTATGTGTATTGTAATTTGTATGATCTTTAACATAAAAGAAACATAAAATAGTCCACTTATTAGTATTTTTAAACGATTCTTGTTTCTTAATGAATTTAAGTGATATGTCCCGCACTTCTAATCATCTTTGTGATAGTAGCGTAATATAGCGTAAAAATTTCATCGGGATGTTAAAAAGTTTGAAATACGATAAAAAATTTTGTGTTTTTGTATTTTAAGGGTTCCGTACTTCCAATGTAAAAAAGGAACCCTTATAAGAACACTCTCTTGTCCGTCTGTCTGTCCGTGTGTCACCACCGATTTTCTCAGGAACTGGCAAGTTGAAATTTATACCAGATACTGAGGTCTATAGTCCCTGTTCGTTGTATAAAAATCAAGGTCCTGAGTCATCACGATAAAAAGATATGGGCAAATTTAGATTTTCGCGAAAACTTGTACATATGTATCAAAGTTACTTTACTAGTTACCTTAGTTTTCAACATATTTTTATTTTTCGGAAATTGACAATTCTATGTCAACCGGAAGTAGGTACCCCATAGGTTTTGGGTCGAAAACCTATATGGTAGTTCCCGTTGACCTAGAATCACGAAATTTAGCAAAAAACAAGGTCTTACAGTACAAATAAAGGAAAAAAATCCAAAAATAAAAAAGTTTAAAATTAAAGTTAAACATATTTCCTACAAATTTGTACGGAGCCTTCAGTGAGCGAGTCTGACTCGCACTTGTCCGTAATTTTTTTAAGTAAAGTAATCTCTCCCGTGACCATGATTATGTATTCAATTTATTTTATTATTCTTTTTATTTTAGGTAGTATATTTTACGGCACTATTTCCTTACGTGGTATTGGTGATTCTTTTCATACGTGGAGTGAGCTTACCAGGAGCATCTACGGGAATATTGTTCTATCTTACACCGGATTTTAGCCAACTTGCAAATGCACAGGTAAAATTTGAAGTCGGTTAATTACTTTTTAGTAGTAAACACTGACGAGGAGCTTAATAGTATAATTTTTATTTTAAGGTATGGGGCGACGCTGCGGTACAAATATTTTTTGCTCTTAGCCCTGCTTGGGGAGGTCTCATCACACTTTCTTCTTATAACAAATTCTCTAATAACTGTTACATGTAAGTACGTTTATACCACATACGCAGTTTTGTGGCGCCATTACATTTAAAAATGGCATTGTTTTAAAAAGTTAAAATTATTTCTGAAAATAGGTAGGTATAGATCAAGTATTAGATTGATTCTTCATTAGAGTAAAAAATATTAGGCAGATATTAATAACACAAGATATGTCCGATATTTTTGCATTTAAGAATATGTAATATAATTAATTAAAATGAATTATAATTTTAATATGTATAAAAGATATTTTTGAAGCCGATGCGGCATCCTATCTATATTTTTGCTTCGCGTGTTTTATCTACAGTAAGATAGTTTTGTTGTTCCTTCGACGTCACATATTTTTTTTCACATATATATTGTAAAATATTTATACTTGTGATTATAACTTTCCATAATAGACGACTATATAATGTATATTTTACTATAAGAAAGCAGTAACTTAGCGAAATCTGTACATGATTTAAAAAAAAACAATGACTGTAACGTACTCAATATAGACCCCAAAACAATAGTTACACATATTTTTGTCTGTTTGTCTGTTTGTGTGTGCGCGTTTCACGCAAATAGTAATTAACCAATTTCAACGAAATTTGGTGAAATGATAACTTATTACTCGGGTCAAAGTTGAGGATACCTTTTACTTCAGGAAAATCTTTCTTTCCCACGGGAAAACAAAATAACTGGTTTTATCGAGCCGTCCTTAGAAACCTTCCGCTAGCTAAACCTTAAAACATAAATCAAAACAATATTGATTGTTTTTTTTTTATAAGATTAGCGAGCAAACGAGCAGGCGGGTCTCCTAATGTTAAGAGATTACCGCCGCCCATGAACATTTGTAGCACCAGAGGCACCACTAATGCGTTGCCGGCTTTTCAGGACTTTATTGGTCCGCCCCTTGAATGTTGAAGAAACCCCATGTTGTAGTCAAGCGATTGTTGCATTCATTGTTTTAAAAAAATATTTCATGTACATATTTTGTTAAGTTACTGCTTTACTATAGCCTCTTAGCGCCCAAGGATAATTTGAGGAGATTAGATGAAACACCCAATGTTCTTCAAACCCAAATCTATAGAAGAGCCATAAAAATAACGATACAGTGAATTTTTCAACGCAATTTTTTTGTAACACCTTCATGCCATAGCATGCAATATATTTTTGCTATCCAAAACTAAAAAAAAATGCCCTTGTCGAAGAACATCGGGCTGCTATTATTATAGAAGGTATATTCTTCACGTCTTCTTTTAAGCACATTGGGCTATTACATAAATAAAAACACTGAATAGAAATTATAAGTATTTATTGTAAATATTTTACACAGTTTTATTAAACAAATCAATCACATATTCTTAATAGTAATACTAGTTCTGTCTCAATATTGTTTGGCTTGGCTTACCACTACAAAAAAATATTTTATCATTTTATGAGAAAAAATAACAACAAAGTAAATTAAATTTTACCAGTACTCGAGACATTGAGTTAATAACAGAATTTATGTTTTTAACTCCTAAAGAAAATTTAGTTTTTTTATACATAGCAAAACAAAAACTTTTATCAACTTAAGTAAACAAAAAAATTTAAAATTAATCTGATATCAAATTAGGAACCTCAAACAAATTTTGTCTTTGTACTAATCAATTTTCACTCTCGTTGTTGTCGCCGCTTGAGCTGGACGATATATTTTCTAGCGAACCCACAAAAGGGGAATCGTCTAAATCGTCATCGAATAGCAAATAATCTTCTAAGTCTGATTTTTCCAACAAGTTTTCAATGTCTTCTGATTGCAACTCTAAAAAAATGTCATAAAGACCAATGTTCTTCCATAAGAACATAAAATTATGGAACATACGCTCGCTGTTCTCACACAAGTACATATTGTTCAAAAGTGAAAAAAACTAAAGTAAAATTATTATTCTTAATTAATTTTAGCTTTTTTTTAAATTACACATAGAATAATTATGTGGCTTAAATAATTAATATCATATTTTATATTTTTTCTTTATGGTTATAAATATAATAATGGCATCATTAAATATAGATTACTAATTATTATTTTTAAAATTGTAATAATTATAATGAAAACAGCAAAAATTAAATAAATAATATGTCATATTCAATTATAAAACTAATTAAAATTATAAAAATTTTAAAGTTATAAAATATTGTAAGGTACATGGTACAATTTTTCATTTTGTTATTTGTGGGTAGGCTGTCTGTAACAACTATACCTTCGAGACCTCTAACACCTCAGTCTCTCCCGTGACCATGAACGTCGGGAACCAAAAATTAAAATGAATCCGCGAAATAATCCGAAAAGATAGTTTTATTTAAAATGTCAAACATTCGCGTAAATCTAAAAAAGTATTATGAAAAACAAATATATCCCACGGGAAACATACATATTTCCGATCAAGAGTAGTGAGAGTAGTAGATCAAAAGTAGCCGATTCGTTATTCTGATGTATGAACTATATTATTGCAAAGTTTCATTAAAATCCAATGAGTAATTTTTGTGTACTAAGCTGTATAATAATGGTAGTGGTAGCCCAGTGGTAACGCGCTCGCTTGGGAAACCGAGTGAAGCGAGTTCTTATCCCGGGTCTCGCACCTCTGATATTTTCATGTGCGAATCATTTCCATTTGTCTTAACGGTGAAGGAAAACATCGTGAGGAAACCTGCATGTCTGAGAGAACCTAGCAAGTTTTCAAAAGACATGTGAAGTCCGCCAACCCGCACTTGGCCAGCGTGGTGGACTATGGCCTGATCCCCCTCGTACTGAAGGGAGGCCCGTGCCCAGCAGTGGGACGATAAAAAGGGCTGAATACAAGCTGTATAAGTTAATATAGATTTTTGAGTATCCTACGGGAACACTTGGATTTTCCAGGATGAAAAGTATCTAAGATGTTGACCGGGGATATAAAGTACCACCATGCAAAATTTCATTTAATACGGTCCAACAGTCTCTGAGGTTAGCCAGTACAAACAGATAGAGACACAAAAAATTTGAAAAAAAAAAATCTGGATTTGGTCTATTTCTCTTCTTACACCCCCCTGACTCGGTTTTGTGCATTTTTTTCTATGTACAGAAATTCGACCTCTACAGTTTTATTATAGTATAGATAGTCTATTCTATACTTACCGTTAAAACGTACCTAGGGACGAACCCAAGCGAAGCGAGGGTTAGTCGTTAGTAGTAAATATAGCAAGTAATTTTCAGTTGAGTGTTTCATTTTTCTAAATAAATAATAATAATTCCATCCTAATTTTCAGAGATTCATTAATCGTGGCAGTTTCAAATATTGCAACATCTTTTTTCGCGGGCTTGGTAATTTTTTCCGTGATTGGATTTTTGGCGCATGAATTACATGTTGAAGTAGATCGAGTAGTCGATCAAGGAGCAGGACTTGCTTTCATAGTCTACCCCGAGGTTGTCACTAGATTGCCTGTTTCACCTCTCTGGTCCATACTCTTCTTTGTGATGCTGCTTACTTTAGGTCTTGACTCTCAGGTATAATATTTAACTTTTAGCAAATATTTTATTATGTTTTCTGATAATTAGATTAGTAAAATTAAATTTTGAATTATGATTTTAGTTTGCTCTAATGGAAACCGTGACAACTGCTATATTGGATAGATTTCCGAATTTTCGCCAGAAAAAAGTTTGGGTCGTTTTGACGGTCGCTATTTTTGGTTACTTAGGAGGACTGATATTTACAACTAACGTAAGTTCATTTTTGGTAGTTCATCTGAATTTTTATAATGAATGGGTAGGTATAATTTCTAACTTATGTTTTCATGGCAGAGTGGAATGTATTGGTTGCAATTAATGGACAAATATGCAGCGAATTGGTCAGTACTAATCATTGCTATTGGTGAGTGCATTCTAATAGCTTGGATATATGGCGCAGAAAAATTCTGCTGTGATATTCAGAGAATGATTGGAAGGCAATCTAAACTGTGGGTTTTTTTTTGGAGCACAATGTGGCGAATAATTACGCCAGCAGCTTTAGTGGTAAGCAAAAATTTTACGTATTCACATTATAAAATAAAAAAAATCGTGGATTATTTGTCATTGAATGGCACAAATTAAATTTATAATATTTGGCTTAGAATACTCGATGTAATTATCTTATAGGTAACTAACTATATGGCGAATTAAATGAATTAATGGATCTGTCAGATTTTTTCTTTTCGAAAGTTTACGCTCTATGAAACTCGAGGCAAGCGGATTTATATTTTTGTCTAAAAGTAATAAAAATACTTGCTTAATTTATTTTTCGAGTTACTGTGTAGGACTACGAAAAATCGAAATGAGTGAAAGAAAAGTCAAGAGCAGTTTTTGTTTAACTAGTAGGTAATTTATGAAACCACTATTGATTTCTGCCCTCCATATTTTTCAGTTTATTTTAGTGTTCAATTGGATTGAGTACAAGCCAGCATCCTACGGTCAGTACGTATACCCAATGTGGGCAGACGCTGTAGGCTGGACGATAGGAGTACTGCCAATTATTGTCGTTGTTTTAATGGCCATTGACCAAATTTGTAGTGGACCTGATGATCTTACCATTATGGAGGTATTTTTCATTCATATTTTATTGTTTGAAGCCGTAATAATTCAATTACTTGAGTCAATAATGTCGAACTTTCAAATTATTGTTTCGTCGGTATCAAAGGAAATTTACCATCTTAAAGTACAATATATACGAGCATGCATAAAGTATTGTGTGCACATACTATCAGTCATTTAATTATCGTTCATTTTACAAGATTAACAAAAGATTGACGCGAAGACACTTCTGCTAGGTACTTTATTTTATAAATTAAAATATTCGTTGAACTTAACTTGCTGATATGCAGCGAATAATTTTAAGTATATAAATACACAGAAAGCGCGCGTGCTCTCGCGACCTACCGATGAGTGGGGCCCGGCGTCCACCGCCGCGTGCGGCGGCGCGCTGGCCGCCGCGCCGCCGCTGTCGCCGCCGGTGCTGCTGCTGCACGGCCGCCACGTGCTGCGCGAGCGCGGCGCCTGACCCCCGCACGCGCACGCGCTCCTGGCGCTGCGGAAAGTAAGTCAAGTTATCTAATGACAAGCGGAATAATTGCCAAAAAATTGCTGCTGAGTAAGTGAGTAGATGGATTTCTGAATAACAAGTTTCACGAGTACCCATTACTTTACTAGTTTGAATGAAATCTAAAAAACACAGCAGTGAAAATAGTTATATACGTATAAAATCCCAAGAACTATGTGGATTCTTAAGAATCTTATCAAACTTAATTTGATGGGATTTAAAATGTTCACAATGATAGTAAAAATAAAATATTTGAAATGCATACAGAAGCTTTTAAAGTATAGCTAGTTAAGCTAAGTTTAGTTATTTAATCATCCTATGTTATTTTCAGACATCTCACGACGGCGCGGATTCAACGTCTATAACTAGTGGTATTGAAAGCGAAATAAAGAAAGCTGGTTCCAATATTAATAAAATAAAAAAGAGTTCTATAAAAAGAAAAGTTCAAAATTTTAGTCATGAATCAGATGACGGTATAATAGAGCCTTTACTACAAACTAACAAAGAGAAATCAGATATTACCAATAGAAGTGCCAAATTTTTATTAAATAAATCAAAGACTGATTCTTCATATGAAAGAGATAATAAATTTGCCGAAGATTTTGCCGATAAATGTTCTGTATCTACTCCTGTGCAACAAGCAAATGAACTTCTAAGCAACAATTTAAAAGACACCTCAGCATCTACACCATATATTTGTGGAATGGCTCCTCTCCATAATTATATGAATACAAATATTTTTAGCACATACGATGTAACTAAAGGAATAACAACAAAAAGTCCCATTCTTGTTGAAATAGACGGCAGTAAACCTGGAATTTATAATCCAAGTCCATTGATCTTTACTACTGCAAAAATTCATACTGATAGCAAAACGAAACTGATGGAACCTTTACAAGTTACGCCAGTACCGATATTATCAACTATAGAAGGCAGTGTTATAAGGGCCGGGGGCACATCAGATACAGATAAAATAATGAATAATCTTGCTCAACAGTCAAGAGACTTAATAAAGAGTACTTACGAAAAATCTGATATTTGTGAGATCCGATCCAGCAAAGATAAGCAAACTATTACAACACCGCCCACTTGTGTTTCTTCTAATATCGAGGTTTTAAGTTCGAAAGTAGTATCTAATAATCAAACAAAATCTACAACTGAATCTGTCTTAGTTAATTCATTTGTAAAATGTACTGGCTTCGTAGATAAAAGTCAAGTAAATGGTCAATTAGCCAGTAGTAACACTAGCACTGCCGGAACCACGTTATTAAGCAATCTGAGTAAAGTAGCAAAAGAACAAATAACATCTATTTCAAACGTTAAATCGAATATAGATGCCTCATCTAAAATAATAAAGGCGACCGAAACGAGTAAATCTATTAACAATTTCAAATCCTTATCTGATAAAAGTGTTTCAGAAGATAAAGCAACAGACAGTTTAATAAAATATGATGATGGCTACAAATTTTCTAATATTCATCAACAAAAATTAGATAGTTTTAAATCCCCAACTTCTATGCCTTCTGAAATAAAGAGCAGTACTTTGTCAACAAATGAAATTGGCTATACAAAATCTTCAAACATAAAAAATCAAGAAGTTGTACAAGATAACACTGGTAATATTGAAAAACCTTTTACAGCGAGTAAAAAGTTACAACGTCAAAAAAATGCTTTTCCGCAAGAAATACAGCAGGATGTGGCTACTATTAGTAAAATATCAAAAACTGAAAAAAGTGGTGTAGATAAAGAACAAGATAAAAAGTCTCCTGCAGAAGTCGAAAAACCAATATCAATAAAGGACAGTCATAAAATTGTAGGTGCTGTTGCTGAAAAAATGAAGGTAAATGTTACATATCCTCCTGATAATAGCCCCACCACTTTTGTTACAACGTGTAAGGTTGAAAGTTCAACCATTACATCATCAATAGTTTCTAGACCTAGCACTACAATTCCATTACCTTCAACTTCAAATGTGAAATCCGTTAAAACAGTGGATGTTGTGGATTCAAAATCCTCAGTTTATCCTAAGAATACTTCCAAACTTACTAGTGAAACTTCAATTGTAACTTCAGTTTCAAATTCAAAAAATACAACTAAATTATCGTCAGCAACTTTCATAAAGACCCCGCCAACGGAGTCCTTACCGAGCCAAAGTATACAAGCGAGTCATGTGAGCGGTAAGCCAGATATTGCCATTAGTTTATCTCCTCTCTCATACCAACAAAGTAACGAAGCGGAGACGTCATTTAAATCTTCCTGTCCTGTTGTGAGTACTACCCTTCCCTCATATATTGTATCTACATCTAAAACAAAAATTGGTTCAACATTTACTTCTAATACATCTACAAGCACCACGAAATCTCAAACGTCTACGCCGCTAACTGAAATAGTATACACTAAAAATGCACCAATAAAGTCATCGGGAGCGCAGCAAAGCGCGCGGCCTACGGTGGGTCTTTCACCCACAAATGGTACTAAGCATCCTAATTTTTCCAAACAAACGAAATCTGACACAATTATAAAAGACGGTAGAGCTTAGCATCATAACGTATAGTTCGTTGTGTAGATTTTTTTCTTTTTTTTCTGGTCATTTTAGCATAGTTAAATTTGTAAGTGATAGAAGTTCTTTTCCAATAATTATTCTTACAAGCGGATGTAGGCTATTCAAATTAATATAAACACGTATGTAGATCGTTATTCGTAGTTGTACATATAGATGTGACATGTTAAAAAATTTTGTTAACAGATTAAAAGGATTTCAAATTTAGTCATTTAAATTTTTAATAGTTGTATTTACATAGATTGCTTGGAGTAGAACTCGGTATTAGAAGTTGTTACTGAACATTTTTAATATAATTTGCTCGTACTACGAGTATAAACAATTTAAGGAATTGAATAGTACTTACTAAATAAAATATTAAAATTCTTTGCCTCAATATCATATACATACTCGTACATAATGCGGAGAGAACAGAAGGTGGAATATCAAGAAATGTGGCTTGCTTATTAATATTATTATTGTAGTTTCGTAATTTACTTAACCCTTCATTGAGGTGTAGTGGTGCTAAGAAATAATACAATATTTTTCATAGACAATATTATGATATCTTCAATTTTCGATACAATTTAGAGATGATTTATTTCGTCTCACAAAGTCAATTTATATATATTATTTGATTTAACCGATGAAGGCGCTTATATTCGGTAAAATATTATCTTCTAAACATCTCTACCTATTCTGTTTTTTTTTATATTTTATAAATATCGAGAGAAAATTAAAATCACAGGGTAGTAACAGATAATATGAAAATTATTGATCATTATAAAAGATCGTAGATATAAGTTACGCATTTTGAGTTTTAGTGGTTTTTGAGATAAATAAATAAAGTGTATTTATGCTCATGCTGTCATTGAGTTTTCTTAGTAAATAATAAAATTTATTTTTAAACAAATATAATTTCGTTGTTTATGAAATTTTGTCTGTCTGATTCCTGGATTATGGTTGAGGTTAACAGCAATAAAACACTAATAATTATTTAACTATGTAACTGTTTGTGTTAGTAAATTAACAATTAAGTAAATGATTTATTCCAATGAAAAACAATTATTTTACATTAAATTAGTGTAGTGATTATGATTAATTAGTATATTTTAAAGTGTCCTAACCACTTGTCATAATTAATTTATATTTTATAGGAGTGTAATCTCATGCTCAAAAGTACATGTATAGAAAGCAAGTACGTCCTATTTAAGAATTAATCAATTACATAATAGTTAGACATAATAATTGTCAATGGTTTTTTGAATAAGCTTTTTTTTGCTTCCCTTGTATATTTTTACAAGTTTCTCTATTACAATTGGTGTTCTTTTCTAATTTTGCGTATGTATATAAATACACGTGTAATACATCGCGAGCCGATATTAAAAAAAAATTAAGTCATCAATTTTTTACAATTTAATAAACCTGAAATTGATCAAGTTTTATATTATATTTTGAATTTTGATATTTCCACTTTGCCTACTGTAATCGTAGTTTACAGATCGTTACAGATCATCTTAACTTTTAAATTCATTAATTATTTTCTAACTTTTTATTATATTTTGTATATTAATAAGTGCGGTAAATAATTGATAAATGCGGTATTATAGGTATACGGTATTATAAATAAAAACTTATTTAATTTTTTACATATATGTAGTAGTTGAAATACAACTAAGTTTCGAAAATCAAATCATACTACTTACTAGATATACAGTAGATACTGGCTACTTGAGTAATATTTGTAATAATTGTGTGTTAAGGCTTCTATTTTCTGTATTCTATATTTTTATTTTTAAGATAACAATGTTTTCTTGATATTTTTGTCGTGTCTTCGAGGCACAAATTCAAAGTAATTATAATATTGTGATTCTAAAATATATTTCTGATATTTTTAAACATAATCTTTCTATATAATATCAAATATCAGTATTTGTTTTAAGTCGTAATTTTAATGTAGTTTATTTCTGAAGAGATATTTTTGTTACGAGCAATGCAATAAGTACACTAAGTTGCTCAGTCCTAGCGGTTCCTTATACTTATCAAAAAAGTTTGGATCTCTTATATTTAGAGGAATGAAAATATTAGGTTTTTATTTTTATGAATTACCTACTATTTGTATAACTGTATATGACGCAAATTTTTGAAACAGTTTTATAGTAAATAATAATTCTTTGATATATTATAAAGTAAATATATGATTACTTATTACTTAACATTGATTAGAATGAATTCTAACAATTTTTTTAACAAATTTTTATTATAATTCAGTAAGTGGGTATACTATAAAATACTTTGTATATTTTTTGTATTGAATAGGTAGAGATAAAACGGCGTTTATATATTTTTTATGTTTTAATTAAATAATCGTTTTCGTATTATCTGTATTATATTCTAAAGAATGTAATGAGTAGATGAAACAATTTCATTTTTTATATTCTGTGGATTTCGTAAAAAAAATGATATCATTTGGCAATAGGTGTGTTGTAAGAAATGTTCGGAAATTAAAATGAAATACGATGAAAATTGCATTTAAGAGCAAGTACATAGGTGCCGGTGTAATATTATTATCTTATCAAATCTGATTAGAACTTAGAATTGTCGTTTAGATATTTTACTCAATTTTTAGATTCATAGATTAGAGATACGTAAGAATTACAATTTATTCCCGTTATTTCTTACTTTAGATGAATTTATTTTGATAACTATCAAATTTTATCCTATAATAAATATATATCTATCTAAATTTACAAAAATAAGTAACCCATTTCGTTCCAAATGCAGTGGTAAATATGGTTGCAATGAAATTCGATTATACGTATAGATAAAGGATTGTAGTAGACGTTCCAAAGTACGTAGGTGCCTAGGCGCAAGTTGGAGTGGAAAATTCGTTATTGTATTCTAACATGCACTAACTTATGTGTGGAGTAGTAGGCTATAGGAACACAGGGCTTTTTTAAGGGATCTGGTCCGACATGCGCGACACTAAATATATTACTTATGTATTTTTATGATCATAAAGTACTGTGCAGAGGTTTAAAGCCTAATTTAATAGACATTATTGTTAAACTTGATGTATTTTAGAGAATTATTGATTAAATCGATGTTACATAGATGTTTATTGTAAATATAGGTATGTCCCCGGTCGAAGTGTGAGGTTTGAATGTTATAGGAGGCTGTATTTTTGGGTGATATTTTATTATCGGAAGGTCATATCTTTGATAACATTATTAACATGGATATCGAACGCGAGAGTAAAAGAAAATGTAATGATGTGATAAATAAGAAATTAGTTTTAGTGTTGTTGTGCTATTATAATAAAATATGTTCAGATGTGGTTAATCTGTGTTATTATTTATCCCATTTATATATTACCAGTACTTGATTCATTTTACTAGTACTTTTTTTTTGTATTTGCAAGAAATATAAGAGAAAAAGTAAAAAAAAAATCTTTATAATAAATAATTTCTCATCCTTATTCTAATATAGCTTTTACATATGTACAAATATTGTAAAAGTATAGTAGATACAGATTGTAAACATTTGACATTGTGGACATGTAATACTAAGTACAGTTAGCTACATGAGTTATTAGCTTTCAATTAAAGTCAGTGAACAAGGCTTTTAGCGTGGTATGTGACGTCGAACTTTCTTTGAGTGCCTAGTGCCTTGATTTTACCATTCGTGTCAGTTCGGCGTGCGGAGCGCACGTCTGGCGTGTTCGTTGATACCATCATGCATTAATTCCAGTGGTCAGCCGTCATTGTCGCCATAAACCAACCGTGAATTTGTTTTCAAAACGTTATATTATAGTTATATACATATATTGTATATTTATAGAACAGTGAACAGTGAAAATAATTGCGAGTTACAATACAGTGGAAATATGAGATACTTGTAGACAATGTTCAGTTATTATATTTATTCGAATCTTGGAGAAATGCACCTGTGTTGAAATTAAGCGCGAATAGTGTTACAAAGGTTAGTAATACTTTTTGCATAATCATTTTTGTCACATTTTATCTTTGAAGTATATATATATGTCACTATTTTAGGCCATATAACAGATATAACAGTTTATCCTAAGCGATAGGTATACCTTTCAAGATATGGTTAGACCATCATCGTGCTGTCAGCTTGTCTGCAAACTTATGTTTGAAGAATTCAACTTATTGTTTTGATTAAACATTAAACATTATCCTATTTACATTAAGATTTTTTTTATATTTAAGTAATTGCAAAATTTTTATGGAAATCCTAAGCAGTTTGACTATTTCGCCATATTACTACTACGCAACATTTTCTGATTGAAATTTTAAAGGTGAAACTTTTGCAAAAAAAATGAAGTCTATTCTGGAGTTATAGAATAACTCATTATTCTTGAGTAAACAGAAAATAAAAAAAATACTAATAATAAGACTTAAATTCGTCTATATATAGGTATAACAGCGACTTACCCTCGCTTCGCTCGGGTGCGTCCCTAGGTATTTTTTAATTTTTTTGAGCAGAACCTTAATTCTTTTTTTAAAATAAAAGCAGCCTTAGTTACTCTTTATAACATCAGCTATCTACCAGTAAAAGTCCCGTCAAAATTAGCCCAACCGTTTCGGAGTTTAGCCGGAACAAACAGACAGACAAAAATATTAAAAATTGTTTTTTTTTCTTATAAGTACCGTATGTATACGAAATTGTAATTTCATATGTATTTAGTAAAAAGCTGTTATTTTGATATTTCAAACAGACACTTCAATTTTATTTATCTGTATAGATATAGTGACTTGATTGATTCGGATTGATTCTCCTAAAGGGTTAAAAGTATTATAGGCATATTCGTACAGTGATGTAGGTAGTAGATAACAAAAGGATATTTTAAAATTCAACCCATAACAGGTTGAAAAATTGTAGCAAAAACTTTTTGAGAAAAATTATATTTTTATAAAACTGTATATATATTTTATAACTGGATTTTAAATCATAACAATAAGATTTTTATGCTA